AGGTGATTCAGCCTTGGTGCTTCTCAAAACTAGCAGGGGAAAACAAAACCCATTACTTGTTTCAGAAGACCATAAAACAAATAATTCTCATTTTATCTCAAAGCACCAACCTTAATCATGCTATTGATAGAACCAATATGTGGTTTTATTTGAAGTAATCAATCCTGGTTCTGTTCTTTTGCAGATCACTTTAGTTGTCTGCAAGAGGCTGACTTCTGAACAGTCCAGAAAACACATGCACGCGTTTTTTTAGCTACAGCAGTTGTGCCATTCAGCTCAATGAGCTTTCTAGCAGACAAGACACTTTTCAGCAAATTTACGGCTACATAGTGTTATAAGCATTATATCACATACTCACAGGAACAGAGTGGTCCTGCTGTTCAAATCACAGCATGTCCCAGTGCTGTTGGCAGTGCTTGCCTTGATGATGCAGACAATATGTAAAGAACCTGAGCACGTGCAAAGGGTGACTTGACAGCAACTGCCCTCTGCAACTTCTGTCTCCACTGCTCCCGTAATTTTTAAGCAGGATGGGAAAGGTTTAGAGGAGATAGAGAAGGCATTATGTCTGTGTTACCCAGCCAGAAACTTTTCCCTGATATGTTTCAACAGATAGACACAATAACTAGTTCTGTCTGCTGGAGCCACCAGTACAACAGTTAACATACTTTCTTCATATTGTTCACTAGCTTGAAAAATCCGTGATAAAAAAAATACAATTCACACAACTCTATTCCTTATTGTTCAAAACACTTTACTTCCTGGGCAATATCTCATCAGTAACACCTAGCTAATTTGTGAAAAGTACTTCTCAAGACCCTTCAGGCTACAAAGCTTCATAAAAAAGTAAAAGCTTACACCCTGTAGAATAAATCTCCATTGACTGCAGAAAAAGATCCATGGTGTATGAATGTAAACTGAGCAAACAAGTGAATTCTTCAACTACACAGTTGGTTTAGTATCTGTTAATATCCCTCATTCAACAATTATTTCATTTACAGATGTGCAAGGGAAAACTGAATGGTATGATTTATTTAGTCAAGAGGAAGCATATAAAGGTCAGTTCATGCAAAGAGAGAAGACGTTACCACATGTCCTAGTTTGAGCCAGGATGAAGCTGGTTTTCCTTTTGCTGATTTTATTTTCCTTCAGTAAGCTTGCTTTTAACTAGTCACAGAACCTTCCAGCTAAGGCTGATAAGAGTGGAATGTTTTTCTAACTGTTGGGTCTTCAAGGTTGCACCTTCGCTCTGCTGGCTTAGACACTACGGGGAGATCTGTGACCCCCCTGTAGGAGGCTGAATTAGACAGACAGCAAAACTGGCCAGAGATATTCCATTCCATATATCTACGTAAGCTCAGAGGAAGGTCAGAGATCACAGAAGATAACTTCCCACTTCTTCTTCCCTTCTCTTCTGTCCATGACCAGCATCTGGGGAGGACTCCATCCATCCATCACCACTGACTCCCAGGCTCGAGATCTCCTGACCCTCATCACTCTGCGCTCTCTCCAGCAACTCCGGGATTCCTCAGGACAGTTCCCAGCTCAAGAGATGCTGTGGGAGTTGCTGGGGGTGGAAGGAGGCAAGAGGCTTTTGCACATATCTGAACTTATTTGTATATAATTGTATATATTTTCTTATATCATTAGTGTTTAATTAAAGCTGTGTAGTTTAGTTTTCAATCCAGCCAAGTCTCTATCTTTTTCTCTCTCTCCTTCCATACCTGGGTGGGAGAGGGATGGGCATTGTTGTCAAACCTGAGTCAAATGGTGACACCACATAATTTCACATACTACTCATTATGAATAGCATACAGTAAATGGTAATCCTGACCTTTCATGTAGTACTCTTCAGTTCCACATGAAACCAAGCTAACACTGGAATTTGTAGTACTAGTTCCAAATACATAAAATAAAGCAATCTTGAGAAGGTCAAGATTTGTTCACAAACCACAAAAGAACTTGAATTATGATGCAGGTCTTCTGTAGCAATTGTAAACTAGTTTTTCACTTAGATGGTTAATAAACTTGAGTTTCTCTATCCCCTTGTCTTCTAAGGTGGGTGAGGAAAAAAGGAAAAATTAAAAAAAGAATGAGAAAATAAACTGCTATCTATATATTTAAAAATTCTAATCAACACAACATCCCACCTGAAAATCCATTTTATCTGTTCAGTGGGCTATCTGGCTAGGAGAAGTTAAAATACTTTTACTCAACTAGAGCTTGTCTAAAAAACTCACAAACTCTAGTGAACAGTCCTGAAACATTAAATTAATGAGCTCCTCTCAACATTTACCCTTTTTTCAACGCAGAAATCATCTGTTTCCATTTCCTTTTGACATGTCCTTTTGACCTCTCTTCCTTTTTTTGCAATAATGCTCATATATTTTACTAGAATGGTCTATTATTTCACTGCCCCACACTGAGCAGAGTCAAAAGTTCCAGAAAACCAATTAAGTTGGTTGGGGCTTTTGTAACACAAATCTTTTTAAAGCTTCAAGGATATCATCTGCATATCTGCTAAGTCCCCTTGCTAATCTACTGTATAGAATTGTCTATTCTTTACAGTCAGCACTTTCTTCTGTCATTTGTGATTGCTAGATGTGAAGATCTTCCATAAATCTTCCTCAAAAAGCCTATGTTAGCAGTTTCATCCACAAGATCACCATGTCTAATCTTGACATTTACACTTCAAAAGTATCTTCATCTTTCTACAAGACAGCAACACAAGAGTGAACTTTTTCCAAGTGAAAAATTGTCTTAGAAAACTGACCCTTTCCTATAAATATCTACTCCACATATGCTATCATCCTATTGTTTATTTGTTACAACAACATAAGCCATTATAAGAACAGAGAAGGAAATAATATAATATTTTTTTTTCAAGTAGAAATGTAATTTTCCTAGAAGTGAAAATTTCAAAATTCTCTTTAATGGTAAGCAATGACTTAGCCTGCGGGAAAACAGCAGGCTATGTCAATTTTTATCAGCTCATATTTCCTTATCTGACATGTTTCAAATAAATGTGTTTTAATCTCTAAAGGTCAGCAGATTTCTGGCAAAACATGTTAATAGTGGAAGATTGCAGCAAAAGAAATCAATTTTTTTTTTCAGTTCTTTTCAAATATTTTGAGGGATACTTTCCACTGTAAGCACCTAAAGAACGATTTGAAAAGTAATTTCAGAGTTCCAGAACTATAAGCCATATAAGAGAGCTTAAGACATCAACAATAAATGTAGATGTGGTGCTTGGGAACATGGTTTAGTGGTGGACTTGGCAGGACTGCGTTAATAGTTGTAGTTGATGATCTTAGAAGTCTTTTCAACCTAAATTCTATTCTATTCTATTCTATTCTATTCTATTCTATTCTATTCTATTCTATTCTATTCTATTCTATTCTATTCTATTCCCTGCTTTTAGTGCTGGTCTTCTGTTTGGGCTAGGTTTATAAGTGAAGTACAAGTTTAAAGGCCAGAAAATATTTGTTTCATTTTTCTACACATACCAACTAGTAGCAATAGCCTATGTCAGGACCTGAAGTGTGACTAAGAGATTGAAGCAATTAGGGGAAACGAAACACAAGCATACTTGCAACAGTTCATAGGATTGGACTAGGCAGTCTGTCATGCAATGTCCTACACCTTCTTAAAAATCCCAGGCCCAAATATTTACACAGAAAGGTTTACTTGCTTCTGAAAGTGCAGCACAGATAGAACTAGGTCAGCATTCATTAATCAAATACACAATCACTGACGGCCAAAGTGGGCATTCAAAATAGGGCCAAGTTGGGCAATGAAAGAGTTGTACTTTCCATACCTATGGTGGTATTTTGTATAAGGAACGTACAGATGCAAAAGGAGGAGTTACCATAATTTTTAGATACATGAATTATATAAAAATATACAACATTTCACTTACATAGACACAACAGCTGAAAACCACTCGGAACTTAATGACAAAATTTAAAAGGTTAACTTTGCTTATGACAGAGACACGATCATGTCACACACATACACACAAAAAGAAAAAAAAAGGAAAAAAAAAGGAAATCCTCATTATCAGGAAAAGTGTAGAGGGCAAATAGTGAACAAATAGGAACAACTGGGAACAAAACAGGATTCCTCATGGAGATCTGACATGAATGACTGTGACAGCTTGCAGAGTTTTCTACTGCCTCAAAGAAACAAGCTATATGAGAGGTCTCTGGAGGACAGAAGGGTATCACTGGGAATGGGTCCCTGTGCCCTCACTCTGCTTGCATGTGCTCCTGGCCAGAGAACAGCAGGCAGGTTGCATCCTGTGCCAACAGACCTTTGGTTAGACTGTATGTGGGCTTCCTATCTCCTTGCCTTTTAGAAACTTTGACTAACATGCTAGGGTCCAGGCTGGTCAAAACAGGTGCAGAGTGTCTTCAAGATGGGGACAAAGAGAGTGGAGGGCACTACAGGCCAGACAGGGAGCCTCCCATTCTTGAAGACCTATCAGAAGAAATGCTCAGAGAAAATGGAAATCAGAGTAGGAAGAAGCCCACAAATGTTGTTACAGACAAATTCTGACAAATTATTCTTCTTCAGTGACAGGATAACAAGTCTAAATTACAGAGGAGAAGCAGTAGCTGTCACATCGCCTTGACTTCAGCAAGACTTTTGACGTGATGTCATGTGAAATTAATAAAAGCAAGCAAGGAATCTGCCAGCCTGAGGGGGCACAACCTGTTGGAAAGGTGGACTCAAGAGTGCTGCTTACAGAGAAAGTAGTGTAATTGAAAGAAAGGAACACAGGTAGGTCATCCAGTATTATTCAAGCACTTTCAGTTGTGATGCAGCTATCAAATGAAAGCTCTGCTGACAAAATGTGTCAGTACTAAACAGGAGGAATGAAATGCTTTGCAAGGGAAGAGCAAAGCGCAAAATAATCTTGAAAAACTGGAGAAATGGTCCAAATTGTAACACACCTAAACTGAATGCAAAATCTGAATAGTCAGCTGTTCAAAACTGGCATGGGGATAACCAACCAACACCTTCCGGACAAGACAGACAGTCACAATCAGCCATTTCCTGACAGAGGTAAGTTAAGGGGAAAAAAAAGGGAACCAAGAATAAACTACACAAAATATAGGAAATAAAACTGCTCAGCCAGAGGCTGGACGGCAGGCAGTAAATGACAAACAGAACCAAGACATTATGAATGGCTCATAACAATACCCAAGGCATAAAACTACCCACATTTTCAAATTGACTCTGTCACTAGGTCAGAGAGAACAGATATTTTAAACACATCTCCATCCTGCCCTCTCATTCTTGCATGAAGGAACATCACTTCTGGTCCTGAGCTAGAGAATAGAGTGCTCACTTTCCTCTGGCCATCTAAAAGTTCTTTTTGCCCACCTCTAAGACCTGACTGCTGTGTGTTTTCTCATTCTTTCAGTTTCCCTGCGTTTGTCAGAGGGTTCTACCTTTGCTGTGCACCTCTCTTGCATGCCATTATTACGCCACAATCCTGTGAAGCTCTTCAGTACACTGGAGGTTTTGAAGAGCATTTCAATAAACTATCCACTAGGTGTGGCTTAGGCACACATGCTCACGTCTTGGGCAGAAGGATGGACTAACCAATGTCACAAACCTTTATAACTAAATAATAATAACAATAATTTAATTAATAAAAAAATTATTATTATTATTAACACAGATAACTCTTAAACTGTCCCTGGTTGTATTTAAAAGACATGTAAATGTGGTGCTTAAGGACATGGTTAGTGGTGGGTTAATGGTTGGACCTGATGATACTAAAGGTTTTTCCAACCAGAATGATTCTATGATTCTACATACACAACTGAAGAACACTCCATACAGATCAGAAAGATCAGTGATGTATTTTTAAGCAAAATATTAGAAGGTACAATCACTGATGAAAGAGTCATAAATCTGAAGGACTAACCTTATTTGGAGAAGAGGTGGGAAGGAGATGAAGTAAATAAGGAAGTCCTTGATAAACACTCAGACCCTAACAATCACTTTAAGACAGAGACTACAGGAACATGCTGTACTTGGCACAGGAAGGTTTCTGCTCCTGACCCATGTTTATGGAGACTAAAGTTGCCTCTTTATGGTAGCAGTGCTCACCTTCAAAGTGGGTAGCAAGGCTCTCCATGACCATGAAATCTAAACTTTTCTTCAGAAGCAAATTTACACTCCCTAGGCAACCTTGAGAAGGTCACTACTTTCCTATATTTATCCTGCTTCTTAGAAATGGACAAATCAGCACTAAACCATAATTTTAAGTCAAACCTCTTATTTCAGGCAAAGCAGAGCATACAGTATTTTCTTAAAAGTTGCTGAATATAGCTATTGCTAATTGGTGTGAATGGCAATGAGAAAGGCCTCTGAGATGTTTGGTTTAGGACGTTATGAGCTTGTACCATAGTCAATATTTCAAATAACTTTTTCATACATTCAGTGCAAAGACTTAGCCCTTCCTCCTTACCAAAGGTTAGATGTACCTTTCTCCTCTGGTGTGCCAGAAGGCAACTGTGTTTATCAGAATGTTATATCTGAGCTTTCACTAATATGTGTGTGAAAGTAGATTAAAATTGATTTCATACAGTCCCCCAGAAATGAAACAAGTAAAGCATGCAATCTTGTGTACCAGCTGCATGTTATGTAAAATCTAGGAAATCACACAGTCACCACTGGTATAAATACATGGAAAAGTTTGCAAGGAAGTGGAATATCATCAGGAGCTCAATTCTATCCCTCCCCTAAGGCACACCACATACATTTAAAAGACAGTAAACTAGCTGTATTTTTGGAGCTGCACAAAACCAGATGCTCTTTGGTAAGTTCAGTGGGAGTCACTTCAGAAGGAATCTTATGGTACAAAAAAGCAAATTACAAAATGTTGCCAATAATTTAGATATCTGGAAAGTGACAAGAAATGGCATAGTTGTCTCAGAGATTTTATTAGCCTTTCTCAGGTGACATCAAATCCACTTGATGTCAAGTCATTTGATCAAGTCCACAGTACTTCTGGATTGTGCCTACACTGACAACTTGTCCATGTCTTGCAAGTTCACTACTTAGTATTGTTGTTATATAGGATGTATGGACTAAGATAACTATGTGTAGTTACACTCTCAGAAATGGAAATATTTTTTGAGGCAATGTATATTCCTGAGTTTAAGCTTGATTTGTTTATTAAAAACATACATGAAGCCTCAAAGCCACGTATCAGTGCTTGCATTCCTAACTGAGATGCCCTCTACAGTCTCTTTAACTCCCTTTCATAGCAGTAAGGTCTCAACTTTGTTGAAGTGAAAAAAACTTTTTTACCTATCTTGATTAAAATTCAGTATATATAACTTTTATTTATATTTCAGATATTTCTGGATTCTACTTTGAAAAAATACTGAACAAGCAGGTTCTAGAGTCACAACAATAGGCAAAATTAGCAACAATTAGTGGTTTGGGTCTTGTCTCTTCAATAATCTGTTTTTACAAAAAGCTGCTTTTTTTTCTTCCTCTCACATTTTCAGCTCTGCATAGAATATCATAATTGATTGAGCACCATTCATCTTCTATTTTCCTGCATAGAAACCTCAATCCAAGCATACTGACAAAAGTTTTTGGCTTATTGTCAGTTTTCCTAGTTTGGACACACTTTATTGCAGTCAGGGTTTAAAGGGCTCCTGGTGCTTTACACTCTATGCCACAACAGGACCCAGAAGTCAGCCTTTGTTCTCTGTTTGGAGCAACCTTGAGCTGATTCCCTTTGAATAGTAACAAGAGTCATAGACTAGGGGTAGCTAGGCATGCTGATGTGAGGAAACACTGAATCAGCCATCTCAGTCACTTTGTATGCCTTAAATCTCTGGGAAGTGGGATCTTCTCATCTCCCTGTGGATGAACCCGGCCTCTTTGGAGCTGAGCAGCTCTGAAGTTATGCTCAGCAGTCTCTGCTTCTGTGGGTCACTATTTACATCTGCAAGCCAACCCCATTTTGGACCTTGATATCAACAATTCACCTGAACCTCTCACCAGACAAATGGAGTTCAATGGCCTCATATTGGTAATCCTTTCCATAAACTCCTTATCTCTTGCTGTTTTCAGGGCATACAAAGTACACACTGATAAATAATCAGGGAATTGGAGAGGACTGGGAACATCCTGTACATTTCTGTTGCTACCTGCCATGGTAAGATTTCCTACAATGCATTGCAGTGACTCAGGCTAGACAGTCAGGAGGCAGAGGACAGAAGAATTCAGTGAGCACTGAAGATTAGAAATAGGGAAGCTCTACTCCTATGTTCATTGAACATTTCCATGTCCCACACATTGCCTGTGAAAGCAATGGCTCACCCTTCAGCAGAACCTGCTGCTTCAGAATCACAGCTGTAATCAGGAAATGTAAGAAACAACAGACAGGAAAAATTGCTGATCTGAGCAAAAAGCTACCAAAAAACTCCAGTTGTGAAATGACAAATGACCAATTACTGCTAGCAAATTTCAAAACACTGTCTTTTCATTAACTGGTCAAAGTTTTGATAACTCTCAGAGCATTCATCTTTTCTGTACATAGTATGCCACATACTAAGATTCCCTACAAGAAACCACATGGGTTCTTTCACGTGAAGGACCAAACAAAATATTGTGGGGAGATGTGGGAGTTTAATATTGCAAAAGTGCAATATTAAATAATATTAAATAATAATAAAATATTCTTAAATATTAAAACAATATATAGTATATCATAATACAAAAACTCTTTATAAACCCTTGAACCTGAAAGTGATGTGACAAAACAAATCAGCCTTGAATCTGGCACAACTTCTAATTTTAAGTTAAAAGTAAAATAAGAGTAAAATACTTGGAGAAACTCCTTCCTCTTTGTTAGATACAGTATATTTTGTGTAGTTTCTTAAGTTTCAGATGTTTAGAATACATTCTGTTCATATCATAGCTAAACATCTTCTCTATTTCTATAGAAATTACTTACTACTGAGCAATTTTTACCTTTGTCATGAAAGCTCTGAGCATTAAGAGACCAGTTGCATCACAGTATAATGAAAATATAAAACAGTATTATCAAATTAGAAATATGGTGCATATCATGGTTATTGTATTTAAGTATTAAAGAGAAAAAAAAAGTAAATAATATTGATGGAATGCATATAATTACTCTGTTGCATTCTTTCCTCTTTCAGCCCTCTCTTTTGTATGCTATTTCTTTTTTACTAGGACTTACTTATCTGCAACATCTTATGGCTTAGGATCTAATTCTGCTTTCCTGAAAGCTCCAACTACAAATGGCAAAGTGACCCCAAAGCAGGCTGTTACATGGATTAAGACTGAGAGATCTCAACAAACCGTTTTGACAAACAGCTTTGAGGAAAAGAATCCACCTCCTACCCAAGTGATTCAGTTTCATTATTGTAATATAACGTTTTGGTTCTTTAAGTCACTGTTCTGGAATTTTTTTTTGAGAAAACACTTATAAACCACTTATCTAGTAGAAAACAAATAAAATAATTGATTGGCACATCTTTGAATTCTGTGCTTTAAACTAAGACTAGCACAGCTTGCAAGAGAGAAACCTGAGCTATGAATCCTGATGGAGGCATGGCCAGTGCAGCCACAGGCATGCAAATCCTCATAAAAATTTTCCCAGCCCTGCTAATTGGCTAATTTAGACAGTGCCCTGTTCAGCATCTGAAACCTAACAGCTACATGTGCCTGGCTCCCAAGGCACTGCACTAGGCTCCAGCTACCCTGCTGGAGCTCAGACAACTAAACTCAGCACTGAACTTCAAAAAAGCATTTTCGTAGAAAATTATTCTTGTGGGGACTAGCTAGGAACTTCAATAATTATTAGATTCACTAACAGTTTTGTGGATTTGGCATGTAGCTCCCTACACCAGCGATCACTAAGACAGTGTAGACCACAAGAGATTTGTAGTCTGGGCACTCCACAAAGTGTTGATTAATACAGAGAGAAATAACACAAGCAGAACTATGGTGTTTATGGTGAAGACAGGCCTTTCCAGATGTTAGCCAGCTTTTTCCCCACATATTTATTTAGTTTTGTGTAGGATTTTCTGTATCTATCATGCAATTCAAAGAGCAACCCTTAATCCTGGAAAACTTTTAGGCTGCAATACTGCAAATATCCAAACTGGATAGTGCTTGTTCATAGGGCACTAAAAAGCCACTTAAGATCACAGGTTCCTCACATGAATCCAACTAAGAACCACATATTTCTCTGTGATATTTTTCCCCACAGATTCAGAAACATATTCTGACTAATTTTAAGCACTAAATTCCGTTTCTCTTTGCTTTATTTTGTCTAACTTAGCAATTGATACGGTTTTGCTTGGAAACACTACCTCTTTAAATAGGAATAGTTCATGTGTAGTGGCAATAGTTGATAAATTACAACATGCCAGAAATGTTGTGCATGCTTCTGAAAGGTAGAATATTAATGTCTCTCCCGATGTGTCTAGAAATTAAATAGCATTTTTAAGATGACAGAAGTTTTTAATAACTGATCTGAAGGGCCTATAATTTAGGACACATTATAATTTAGTAGGAGAAAAAGGGACAGATGATCTATAGTCCTATGGCAGCAATGAAGCAGAAGTTGCCTAGATTTTCCAAAGGCACACATTCCTGCCTAGTAACTCTAGGTTGCAGTGCTCTATTGCAGCAATAAGTCTACCACAGAATTATTTCAGACTTGAACATTGGTTTATATGTTGCTACAGCACTGGTGCAGGACAGTTCTCAAATTCAGCTATGTTTATAGTTTGTTGAAGATTGTAAATGCATCTTCCCAGCATTTATAAAAAAGCAGACTTAAATAATTCCCTCATGATACAAGTTCCCCTCTGTCCTCTCATGCTCAGGAGTAAGGCACACTGCTGCTGGCCACTATCTAGAATCAAGGCTCTCACACCAGCTCTTGGCGAGCATTAATGGTGAATGTCATTGGGATGACTGGGATGTGACTCCTCAGAAGCAGAAGGCTGCATTCCCTGAGTTAGCTACTCCAGCTGCAACACTAGGAATGGGGAGAGCCAAAGTTGTACTGGCTTATCAGCTCTATATATCCACTCTGTCACCTAGAGGAAGAGAACAACAGTTCTTTCATTTGCTATGCATAAATACATAAGGGTGATAGATGAGAGTGTAGTAGTTCAGCCCTGCAGCAAAAATTAAAACACAGCAGGAACACTATAATAGAAGATACTCAGAAAGAGACACTAGATTGTAAATACTGTCCTCTGCACCTACCTGTACATTTGGGTTCAGATTCTCTAAAAAGGTTGGAATTCTGTTTGAAAAAAACACAACATCATTATACTTATCAGAGCATAATGTATTATCAGAGCACATGTCAAAGAAGACCTCCATCTCAAGGCTGCTTTGCAAAAGAACTGATACTGAGACACTAAGTGAGAAGATCATAGTGCAATTCCATCCTTAAGCTTTTGGAAATGCAGCTGAAAAAAAATTGGGCCTGACTTGGTTCAGTTGAGGGCCATCCTGAAGAAATCTCACCGCACAGGAACTGCCATTTTTTTGCAGGCTATGGAAAAGCCAGCATTTTTGTATAAACTTCCACACCACATTGATCTGGAAAAGCCTTCCTCCCACTTCTTCAGTCTTGCTCCTGTAGCACTACTTCCTTCTCAGCTGTTCAGTGACAGAGCTAACACCAATTCCAAAGGAATTAATTTTGTGAGTCTTCTGGTTTAAGCCAGTACTGAACCAATTTTCTTTCTAGTAATTTTACTTTTCAGTTAAGTCTCTTCTAAGTTGCTGCACTTGCTGAAATTAACAGCATGATATTCAGTCAGTGTCTGCTTCTAGGTACAGTAATGCTTGTTGTTTACAGTTACTGATGGAGAATGCTGTGCAGAATCAAGGCCACTGCTTGGTTCTGAAAAACATATGTTCCAGAAACAGAAGTGAGTGAATGGGTTACACCTGCAACCCTCCTGTGGGGAGTAGAGGATGAGATAGGTGATAAAAACTGATCACCCCATGTTTGTCATACTCAGTATAAATTTGAGGGATCATGAGGGTCAAGCTCTCTTCACCATGGCTGGTGTCCTGAGAAGACTCCATCCATTTGTCTGCATTTGATCCCAATCCATGTGTTCCTGAATCCACGCCTTCCTGCATCCAGCTTCCATCGGTTGATGACTCCAGGAGCTGAGACATTCCCAGGGCCTGCCCTGCAGCCTTGGTGGTGACATGAGTGTTACTAGGGGTGACAAAATGTAATATTGCTTTTGTATATGTTTTAATATATTTTTATTAATTTATATATATTTTAATATATTTTATTATTTTCTCTGTCATAATTACTTCTTCATTAAAGCTGTGCAGTTTCATTTCCAACCCCTAATCTCTCTCTCTCATTCTCTTTCCTTTCCCTTTCTGAAAGGGAGAGGGGTTAACAGAGAGCATCTGTCCTTCGCTTAATTGGCAGCCCAGCCTTAAATTGTGACAGTAAGCAAACTTACAGGACACACCAAACCCAGACTTCTTGTTGGCTGTTGTACCACCACACAGAATATTTCAGTGACCCTATTTCAGATCAGGATGGGGTCATGTTTGAATTTTAAGTTATCCTGTTTTATTTTCTAAATGACATTCATGCATCTGCTTTCACTTTACTGTTTGCATGATGTAAGTTATTCAAGTTCTTTGTCACTGCACTTATAATATGAAATTACAGTTTAGTAGCTCATTAGTGAGAGTAATTGCCAAAATCTTGCCAAACAGCCTGTGTCCACTACGAATGAAACTTGCATAAATTAGATAGGGTGATTTTGCTTGTAGGAAAGTAGGAGAATAATTTAGGCCATAAATAAACACCTGATGTGGCCAGTAGTGTTTAGATGACTGTAAAATGTTCTTTGTGTAATTAGGAAGCACATTTTTGTGTAATAAAGAAAATGAATGAGAAATAAATGTTGAGGGAGTGCAGGTGGTATTGCCACCTTATTGTATACATACCAACACATCATTTTAATATACAACTACTGTAATGTCTAGAACACTTTTTATATTAAGTTAGAAAATTATACATTTTAACTTCAGAAATGCTAGCAAAATGTAATTCTTAAAAAAAATAAAAATCCAGAGACCTAGTTTAAAAAAATAATCCACCCTATATACAGTGTTTCCATTTTGCAGTTTTCAAAGGAAACGGTTTGGAAAGTGATTTCTGAAAAAAATAATTAGTGACTCTTTCTCTCCTCTGACAGAATATAATTAATTAATACCAAAAGCTTTGTGTGCTTGTTTTTGACTGCTTGCTTATACATTTCTCCTTGTTGAGAGAATTCTGACAAATTATAGTATAGCAAAAGTATCACATGGAAAAGAAAAGACAAATGGAAAACCAATCAGTTTTCTTCCAGTTTTAAACAGCGGCAAGTATGAGAGACTTTAGGATCTCAAGTCCAAATATACTCGCATGCATACTTGGAATTATCTACTCTCACACTTAGAAAGAGCCAGAGTAAACTGAAGAAACTGGGGTGTTCATGACCACTCCTGTCTTAGAAGTGCCCTTATTATAAACCAATAAATGACTATGTTCCTCTGGTTTATTTGCCCAGGCTGGTGTTCTTCTCTCCAGTGCTGAGGCCTCCTTTTCACTCACATTTTTCTACTGTCACAGCAAGAATTCCAGACAAGTTTGTACTTTCTCGTTTTGTCTTTCAAATCCTGCCCATGTTTCTAACAGCTGTCGGCTGAGGCAGATTTTGTGTTCCATGTTTGCACAACTGTTTATAAAGTGCTGTTAACACTCTGTACTTACAGAGAGAGCAAAAGTAGGGTGAGTAGCAGCTTTTCTGGAAACACAGATACAAAGTCATGTGGGAGAACCAAGAGCCCCTAGAGAGCATGAAATAATGAGTTCTGCTTTTTTGTCTTGTGTTAAATTGCTGGAAGCTTCTTTGCAGTGTTAGTGACTCCGAACCAGCTCCTGTACAGGAGCTTGTTGGTATGGCTGCTTTTCAATTTGGTTCCTCCTGTGCAGAATGGACACTGGAGCCCAGTATTGAACCACAGAATGCCGTGTGCAGGGGGGCTGAAAAATGGCAATAAGCTGCCTCATGTAGGTAATTCCTCGTGCAGCCATCTAGAACTATTCTCTGGAACACTCAGTTCTGGTCCTTGTTTTTCTCTCTTGTATGATCGTGGTTCAAGATACAGAAGCCTTACTTAGGTCCTTAACTAGATTTTTGGAATCTGGTTGTAATAGAATATCCCAGCACAGAAAACTAAGTGGTATGGTTCACCAGGTTTTATAAATAAAGTTCCTGAAAAAAGTGTTATTTCACTGAGAAAAAGGAAGGAAATACTCAACTCTAGAAACTCATATTTTCTTCAGCT